TCGATTTTCTGTTAACATTCCACCCAAGGAATATAGGATTATTTCTTATTGGTTTCTTTTAGAGAATTCTTCTTTCTTTTCTTCCTTCTGTTTTTATCCTAGTCAAAGATGTTCTCTCTAAAAGTTATATCCTAGAATTTTAATTTTATATTTTCTTTTTCTCTGTAAAATTTATTTGGTTAAGTTCTAGTATTAAAAAAATTAAGCACTTTTTTGTAAATCAATCGAACGAGTATCTTTATCCTCCTTTTTTATATACTGTTACATGTCGCATTCGATGATTTTCAGAACGATTTGAATATTTTTTTCATCTCCTTTATCATACTTAAGCTATGTTTTAAATTAGTTTTTACGGTTTTTCAACCCTTTTATAATCTATTTGAAGCCAGAAAATATTTTTAGATTATAAAACTTTTTGGGGGATAATAATAATTTACTGAAGCCAGTCTTACTATTTAGCCCATAGCTGGGAGGAGAAGAGGTGGATTAATACTTTTCTCAAGGTTTTCTGCGCGTTAGCGAATATAACGAACCCGACTGGAATTGGAACTCAGCTCTCTGATTTCCATTTCTGAGCCGTTATCTACTCACACATCAAAAATTACAACACTTTGAATTCCCAAACGGTTTCTCATCTAGGTAATGACCGAGATTGACATTGCTTAACGATCGTACGAGAACCGGTGTTTCACCATGATATGGCCAAGAGAAAACTGTTAATAAAAAGGTTTTTTGTTGCATTAATATGGTTCTTCACGCTTTCAAAATAATGTCAGCTGTAACCACCTAAGAAAACAAGAATAGAATAAAAGCTTAGCATATATAGACTCTAGATGTTGCCCTTCTCTTTCGTGTTAGTCGTTAATGTGCGACTGTTACATCACACTCTCTATTTTTAATTACAATTTTCAGTACCTGATTTTCTTACCTAAATAATGTTTTTCTGTTCCTATTAATGTTAACTCAAAGTACAAAGTTTGAAGTGCGTCCATGTAAAATATTTCAAATAAAGATTTATATTTTTTGATATTTTCAAAATCAGGTATGATATACCCATGGTTAGTTGTGGTGTAACTTTAATTGATGGTTAGTGTTCTAGAGTTAAACATTCTCTCTAAACTGATTGTGATAAAACTTTTTCAACAATGGATCTGTCCAGAAGAAAATAAACTAAACTTTGGAGTACTTTCTAACACATCTATTCATCATCTCTTAGTTGCGTCTCTGTCTTTGGACAGAGTGCACTCAGGGGTGACACCGTCAAAGGACAGAAGGGCAACTGAGAAAATTATACCGAGAGGTGACCTGCCCTGGGGAACACCTTCCCGAGGCCGCGCCTTCTTATTGCATTAGAGAGAGAATCGGTGCACGCACTGAGGCCAGCGCAACCGACAGTTGCGGGTGCTCGGGGAATTTTTGTTCCTTGCCCGGGTGTACGCGCTCGGGCACCTCACATTAAACCGACATTGTGCCACAACCTGACCACGTGGGGGTTGAGTAAATACAAAGTATATGTTACGATTTTGTTTACGGTTCACCTATGCACGCCATTGCCTGTACCCACTAAAATAACGTTTATGCTAATAAGAAATATGTGTGTATATGTATATGGTTCTAACTATATATTATACTTTAGCGTGTGTATTACGTAAACTCAGTATGTTTGAGTTTCTAGGTGTGTGTGTAGTTGCGGACAAATTATTATATGTCAGTGTTTTTGTATGTGTGCGTAATAGTGAAAGCGTAAATTTCGTTTATGTTCTCGGTGTGTAATAGATTTATTTTTGAATCATGTCGCTTTAGGACGTAGACAATTATATCTCTCCAGAATTTCCTTTAAGTTATTATCTGAAAATTGCTATCATTCCTTTGTGTAGTCGAGTTCTTTCCCGTTGATTTCTCCACGGTTTTAAATTCAGAGTAGTCCTCGACTGGATCCATCCAGATGCAAAATATCCCGGTTTCCTAAAAGCCTTCTTTGATCCCCACTTTTTTTACATATATTTGCTCAAAATCTATCACCCGGTTCACACTCTTTCTCTGTCTTTTGAACAGGAGTAGAGGTGTATCACTTATTTACTGTTTGGGATTATGTTTCTTTTTTCCCTCCCAGTAGACCCCTTGTGTCTTAATGACATTGTTGCTTTTTCTTGGGTTGAAATGAAAAAAAAAAAAAGAAAGAAAAATTGTGAATACAATTTCGGCGTTTGTTTTAGTCGCAAATATTTACCACTTATTTTCCTCCTAGTTTTTGGTGATTCAATGAGATTTATAAGAATAAAAAACAAGACGAGGTTTTATATTTTCTATTTTAAAAAATGATTTTACGAATAAAATATTTTTTATTAAAATTTTTAGATTTTTTTTTTATAAATTCTTATATTTTATTGATAAGGAAAAAACTTTTCTATAGAATTGTTATTTCTATTTTTCAAGCACTTTTTTCAATTAATAAATTCTTAGGGTCCTTTGATGGTTGGAAAGGATGGTACCCATATGCGGTCTTATACCGAGGAGAGATTTACTTGCCCCCCCCCTCAACCACCACCACCACCACTGAGTCAGGTTGTGACACAAGGTTTTTTTTTTCCTCCATTTTCCATGCTGTTTGTGTTGGACACATTATGAAAGCTGTAGAACAGATCAGCTAAAATCTTGTAATAACAAAAACAACAAAGAAAATTACAAAAGATCAACTGTTTGTATTTTATTGATTTGTAAATTTTCTATTACAAGAAAACTACCATGAATGGAATTAAAATAATTATAAAAAATTGCTTTTTTTTTTTAAACAGAGAAACAGTTTACTGGGCAATAAAGGGTGTTTTTTTATTAAGATGGATCAAAGTCAGCAGTAAATAAATCAGTGTTATTGGTGAAAATTTATTTATTTCTCTATCGGATCATGTTATTTAAGTCATGGCAATTATGTGCGAAAAATAATATCGCACAATTGTCCGCCAAGGCTTTGATGGCACACTTCCATTTGATGGTCAAAATTTTTGATGACGTCTCTCTATAGTTGCTCCTCGATCTCACCAATATGCCTTATTATCTCATCCTTCAGCTGTTGAATTGTTTTTGGCTTGTTGGCATTCTACTCTCTGCCTGTCCTCCCTGTCTTCTACTCTTTGCCTGTCGTTAGTCGGGCCGCTGGTCTTAGCTTGTCCAAGCTGGTCATAGCTGGCCTAAGCTAGTCATAGCTGGTCTAAGCTGGTCAGAGCCGGTTCAAGGTAGTCATAGTTGGGATACTATCAGCACAATGACGGATCCCTGTGACCGGTAAGTATCAGAGTGTGTTGATTTACTTGCACCCCCCTCCTTCCACTGAGTCTGGTTGTGACACAAGGTCAGTTTTTAACGTGGAGACCCGAGTGTCTTCGCTCGGGCCGCTGGTCTTTGGTTGTCCAAGCTGGTCATAGCCGTGATACCACCAGCACAGGGACGGATCCCTGTGACGAGTAAGTATCAAAGTGTGTAAAGCACTCAAGAATGCGGTTTAAGCACTCAATCGTGTACCGAGGTATTAGTATTATTTCTCGGCCACACAGAATTTACCGACTATTTTGTGTTCGGAAGAATAACGTTTTCTAGCCTTCCAGTAGTATACCGAGTACTAATATTATCATTAGCCTAGCTATTGATATTGTTTGTGAACACTGAATACGAATATAGAAAGACGATATACGCGACCGTAACAAACAAAATATTTAATAAGGCAAACAACTTACATATATATGTTAAAAAGATTTACATATGTCCCAAAACAAATTATTGTTTATACTGTCCAAAGGAACGAGAATGTTTACAGAAGGAGAACAAAGAAATAACATACCAACTTTATGGCTTTTGACCATCCGTAGATAAGTGAATAGAAATTGTTTTTTTTCTTTCGCTAGGCTGTGCACATGTTGACCAGTTTCCACGTGTGTGGACGCTCTGGGGGTCAGGAAGGTCAAGAAGCCATTCCTCAAAAAACGGAAGCAAAAAACAAAAGGGACAGAAAAAGTTCTCCTCTCTAAAGGGGCCGAACTCCCATGAGGACCGAGTGGTTTTGTGTGTTGTTGAATTAAGGACACGTGCTTCTGCTAGAAGGTCCAACTACAAGAACAATGACTGACTCTAATTGAGTCCAACCTAAGATCTAAAGAAAACAAAGACCGATATATATATATATATATATATATATATATATATATATATATAAACAAATATATGTACTAAACAACACAATTTTACAATGGACGTAGACATTAACATTTGCGTGTTTGTGAACATTTGTTTTTGTTCTTTGGTGAATGTTCGTACGTACGTGTATGTGTGTTTAATGGCGTTTGCCCATAAGTGGGCAAAACGCGGATTTTTATGAGAGGTTATATTTTTAAATGTGTCCGCTGAAATGAAGAAATAAAAAAGAGAACGAAACAAGAAGTCGGCCAGTATTTATAGTGTAGGGAGAGCGACCCCAAGTGAACAATTAGGGAATTAAGGAGGAGCTAACTCCGACAATCTCAACCCAAGGGAAAACAACTGTGGTCTCCGTACCGAGGCAACATGTTCATCAATCCCGATGTCGTCGACGGGTAAGTGTAGTTTATGAGTGGTCGCAACATATGCAAAATATTTTATTCGCATAATAATAAAAATGATGAATGAATAAATATTTGTAGCTTATTTGTTTGGACATCGCTTGTCTATTAATTGTTCTGTCTGAATTTTGTTACAATGTTTTAAATATCGTAAGAAGTTTTCTTCGAAACAATTTTCTCGTTTTTGTCGCTTGTTTTGTTTTCACACTGTTTTGGTCGCCTACCCTCTGGCTTTAACACATTAGATAGACGATGATGACCGGAAGGAACATGAAAGAAAAAATAACAACACTGAAATCTGTCTGAAGAAAAGAGCATCAAATATTCTATTGATTAATTCTCCTCCTCAACTATTTCAGTTTCTTACGATAACATTTTCACACACGACTCTAATTATTTTTCCTTCTTCAGTTTTCTTCTTTTGTTTTTCTTTTATACTTTTACTTTTTCTTCTTTCTTTTTTAATTTCATTTCTCTTTCTTTTTGTTTTATTTTTCTTTTTTCTTTTATTAGTTTTCTTTTTCCTTTATACCTATAGTTTATTTTATTCTTTTCTATATTTTCTTTTATTAGTTTTCTTTTTTATTTATATCTATAGTTTATTTTATTCTTTTCTATATTTTTGAATTAGTTTTTTCATTTATATCTATAGTTTATTTTATTTTCTATATTTTCTTTTATTAGTTTTTTTTTTCATTTATATCTATAGTTTATTTTATTCTTTTCTATATTTTCTTTTATTAGCTTTTTCATTTATATCTATAGTTTATTTTATTCTTTTCTATATTTATATATTAGCTTTTTTATTTATATCTATCTTATTTATTATTTATTTTACATTTTTTTATTTTCTTCTATACTTTTTATTTACTTTTCTTTTGTATTTTTATTTATTCTTATTTTTTATATTTTGATTTTTCTTCTTTCTTGTTTTTTTTTCTTCTTCATTTTTATTTATATTTATTTTTTATTTATTTTATATTCATTTTTCTTATATTTTCTTTATTTTACTTTTTCTTCTTTATTATTTTTCTTAATGTTTTTTTCTTTTTTATTCCTATTTTTTTCCTTCTTCATTTCCTTCATGGTTTCTTAAATGGATTAAAACATTAAAAACATTAAAATATTAAACAAAGCGTTGAAAATGAGAATTTTGTCAATAAAAATATTAAAATATCCCAAAAGAAAATAAAGCTATTTTGTAATTAATTAGTTGACCAAAATTAGTATTACACGTTAACATCGTCATTTTTAAGATAAAACATTAAAAATTATTTATTGCCCAATATTCTCGAACATAATTTATAAGTCTCGTGCTATTGATAAAAATAATGGCACTACGAGAAAAATAATACAAAGAAGAATAAAAGATTGAGAAAATAAAAGTCAAAGCACATGGCTATAGTAATACGTTTGGCAGAATAATAGAATCTTTAGCCTTGTAAATCCAGATTAAACATGTATTATATACCAGCAATTCTCCAAATAATGATAGATAATGTGAGAAAATGAAATACATATATATGAAAAGAATTCACTAGATAGATAGATAGATAGATAGATAGATAGATAGATAGATAGATAGATATGAAAAGAATGTAAAAATAGATAGATAGATAGATAGATAGATAGATAGATAGATAGATAGATAGATAGAAAAATGAATGAAATAGAGGTATGAAAAGCATTAATCGTGCTGGTATACTTTGGAAGCAGATATCAGGTCATCCCATAAGTTCTGTCCGAATTTTGAATAAAGAAAACAAGTGACCAAATGTTATATTTAATTACAGATTCAATCAACAATGTATTTTCCCTGATTATCTATGACTTCCTTCCATCTATTAACAAGTTACTAATTCCATTACTGTAAAATTCTTTTGGCTTTGATTCGAAGAACTGACAAATTCCAGTTTTAACCTCTTCCTGTGTTACAAAAGCTGTTTCTTCCAAATGATTCTGTAAGCTACGAAACAAATGGTAGTCTGAAGGAGCAAGATTGGGAGAATAAGGTGGATGAGGAATTTTCTCCCAACCAAGTTCTTCGATCTTTTGTGACGTGATTCTTGCTGTGTGGGGTCGCGTATTGTCCTGATGAAACATCACCTCTTTTCGATTCACTAGAGCAGGTCTTTTTTTCCTCAAAGCTTGGTTCAAACGTTCTAATTGCTGACAGTATATTTGAGCATTAATTGTTGCATTAGGTGGTAAGAATTCAAAGTGGATTATTCTTTGGCGATCCCACCAGATTGAATGAAGAACCTTTTGCCCATGAAGTTCCCTTCTCGGTTGTGGCTGGGGTCCTTCCCCTTTACCAAGCCACTGTCTACGACGCTTAACATTTCGATTAAAGATCCATATTTCGTCGCCAGTCACAAGTCTATCTAAAAAAAGGTGAAACAAGTTGGCGAGAATGGAGAGAAGAGCAGATGTCAACTCGGGATTTGAGGTTGTTTTCAGACAATTCATGAGGCACCCATTTTCCAAGTTTAGGAACTTTTGCAAGTTGTTGAAGATGACAATGAACAGTTGTATGGTTTGAACTGAGAACCACTGCCAATTCTTCAACTGGTAAAGCAGGATTCTCTTCAAGGGCTGCTTCAAGAAGCTTTTCATCAAACTCAACTGGACGTTCGGTTCGATCTTCATCTTCAAGGGTGAAATCTCCACCTCTGAATTTTGCAAACCATCTTCTGCAAGTTCTTTCATTCACACATTCCTCTTCATAAACTGAGTGAATGTTTCTAGCCGCTTCGGCTGCTGAGTTTCCTTTCTTGAACTCATAAATCATTATGTGCCTCAAATGATTCTTGGGTACTTCCATGTAAGCAGGATTTTAATCAAACAAAATTTAATTTTATTGTTCTCTGAAATAAAATTTGATCAGTTTAAATGCATCTAAACATAAAAATAATGTTCAGCTCCATTAAAAATACCCTTTAAATTTCTTTCATTTTAACAAAAAGTTAAAATTCGGACAGAACTTATGGGATGACCTGATAGTTATAAATACTCCAGCATGACGTCATCTATAATGCCTATCACTCGAAAAACTACCAGGTCACAAGTGTACGACCCCTAATGAGGATCGACATCGCTACCCAGTATTTATAGATCAATCTGATCTATCCCTTATTATCTCAGAATTGATATTTACTAAATTTAGCTCATGTTGACACACGGCCACAAATATGGGGCACCCAGTCGAGAACAAACCTACTACAGATTATGTTCATGAGATCGATAAAAAATAACATACCATGAATAAAAAAGGCCTTAAACTTTATGAAAATAATTTTTATCGTCTAAATGAAAATGCTATTATCAAGAGGAAAGATCAAAGTATTTTTTGAATATTTTTTTACATTTTTTAATTTCTAGCACATCCAAAGTTTTCGTTAAAAATCTTGAATTTTATTGAATCAGCAAAATTGACAGAAAATCAATCGTCAATCGTTTTGTAATCAAAAAGAAAGCCTCCGTTTAAAATTCATTTAATAAATCAATCATGATTTTTTTAAAATTAATTTAGGAAAATTAAAAATTATAAAGTTTATTTAATATATTTTGAAACAAAGATTACTTACTTTCTGCGGTTAAAAAATGTTCTTTCAAATGAGAGAAAGTCTGTGTTCTTAACAGCGGTGTTGATTGCTGAGTGACACTTACGGGAGGAAAGTTATAGTACGGTAGGTCATAAATGACAGTTTACCTTTATGTGAACAAATTATTTACGTTGTTATTTTTAAGTAGGCATAGCATGATAAAAACGGCCTTAAACTTGACGAAAGCAGAATTTTATCGCCAAAATGTTTACGTTACTATTAAGGGAAATAACAAAGTAATTTTTAATTATTTTTAAAAAGATTTCTGTCTTTAAACTTTCAGAAACTATTCAGGAATGATCGAAATTATTATAAATGTTTTTTTAGTGATTATGTATATATATATATATATATATATATATATATATATATATATATATATATATATTACCCCACCTGCGATAAATAATTTAATGAAAACGCTAGAAATTCCATGTCGAAGAAGCACGCAAGTCATTATATAAAAATCACGTAATGTTTTTATTGTATCATGTTTCATCCGGGCTTCCGTACATTTGAATTATATCTGTTTTTATTGACACAAAAGGCAAGAAACAGTAAGATTTTTGTAACTGTTGGTTCGTTGATTGCAAAACGCTTGTGTAATTTATAATCTGTACAGATACATGTACTTAAAAAAAACCATTAAATACAGAATTCGTCATTTCCACTAATTTTACAATATCTAACAACTTTAATGTAAAAATTATATAATAATTTATGAAATCATTAATTCTTTTAAAAATTCATTTTTCATCGAAAAAGTTTTTTGCCTTCAGACAATATTATGCATTTTCATAAAAACAAATAAAAGCAACTAAAAGCATTTTAAATTAAATTGTATCTTTGTTTTATTGCGTTTTGTATCTTACAATTTAGAACTGATTGTAGTAGACGAAGTCGAATTTAAAAAAAAAGCAAAACCTGATTTACAGTCCTCAAAGCCTTGTGTTTTTAACTAATATAATGACTTGTGTTATCCGACATTGAATTTTAGAGTTTTCATTAAATTATTTAATGGCGGGGGGTAATATATATATATATATATATATATATATATATATATATATATATATATATATATATATATATATATATATATATAATATTTTTATAATGACTTTAAAAAATACATATTTATAATAATTTCCCCCATTCCTGAATAGTTTCTGAAAGTTTCATTAAAATCTGACAATTATTTCTATTTTTGCAAGATTTTCAAAATTAATGTCTGTCATAAAAAAAAAATGACAAAAAATTCGCCATGTTATTTACTAGAGTTCCGGTGATGACGAGAAACAAGGTTTTTCAATCGAAAGTTAGAATCTTCTAATAAAGACAGATTTTTTTTTTTAAATAACTAAAAATTACTTTGTTCTTTCCTCTTTATAGTAACATAAACAATTAGACGATAAAATTTTGTTTTCGTCAAGTTTAGCGTCTTTTTCTTCAGACTATGAGCTTTTTTTACCGATCTCATGATTATATCTAAATGCTCAACCACTCTAGCTCGTTAATCATTACCTAATTCCGAGATACCTATATTATTCACTGGCATTGGTTTTAATAAAATACTACAATTATGATATGCCTCAGTCCTTAGTAGTAATGTCAACCGGACTAGAGACTTAACTTCGGCATTGACTCTTTTGCTTGTCATTGTTTTCGCTAAAACATCTGATATGCGTCGTGCTGCAGTGTGGATACAAAATTAATTAAAATAAGACCCCCACGTCTCTTCATGTGAAGACAAAAGATTCGACGCAAGTTGTTTACATCAGAAGAATGAATAATTGATGAAAATTACCAGACATCAGTCAACAGAATAATTTAAATTTGTGTTTACATACTGAGAAAAAACAGAAAGAAAAGAGACACAGAGACACAAGAAAATGTTTCGTAAATATTTAAAAAAAACTTTGCTCTCGTAGTGCAAAAAGAAATGGTGAAGATGTACATCGGAAGATTACCTTGTGCCAGGATTCAAAGAGTGGAATGTCTGGCGATAGAATATTTAGAATTTTTCTTTCGTGCAAAATTTATCAATAAATGCAGTTAGGAAATCCACCTACATCAAATATGACGCAATCTAAAATATGAATATTCTTTCAGTAACCCTCTTTCATAGATAGATAGATAGGTAGATAGATAGATAGATAGATATGGAAATAATGAAATAAATAGATATGAAAAGAATGAAATTGATGGATAAGAAAAGAATGAGATAGATAGATAATGAAAAGAATGAGATAGATAGATAGATAGATAGATAGATAGATAGATAGATAGATAGATAATGAAAAGAATGAGATAGATAGATAGATAGATAGATAGATAGATAGATAGATAGATAGATATGAAAAGAACGAGATAGATAGATAGATAGATAGATAGATAATGAAAAGAATGAGATAGATAGATATGAAAAGAACGAGATATATAGATAGATAGATAGATAGATAGATAGATAGATAGATAGATAGATAGATAA